ATAGATATCTAAGAATCAAAAATGAATTTACTGATTAGTGAAAAAATGTTAATATGATCAGATGAAGAGTCAATTTGTGTATTGATGTTGAAATAATTTTTGGTAGGTCGTTAAAATCACTGTCAGCGTAGTACCTTACTTTGTTCTTGACAGGTAAGTGTCCCGTAACTAAATGTTTGATGGCTAACTCTCTTTTCGTCCGAGTTACATGTCCGTGGGTCTGGCCATCGGCGCTGTCGGCGTGAACGTTGGCCAGAGGCTAAAATGATTCCTGGAAGGAAAGGTCGGTGCTTAATTGCACTGAAAAATACCAAACTACAGTCGCTAAGACCGCGGCTAATGGTCATGCGAAAATGACGACTGACCCACAAAATTCCTTAGGCTAAGTTGACCTGTCACTATGTCCTGACTAAAAAAAAAAAAAGTGTGAAGCTAACAAAAAACGCGCCTTGGTCAACAAAAAAAATCGCCCAAAAATAACAAGAGGCACGTGGACACACACACACACGAGAGAGGCGAGAGAAAGGGGAAAACGAAGGTGGGCACACAACAAGGTACAGTGTCCTTGAACACACACCATAAAAAAGGATCGAAGGGCCGTGGGCATTCCAGACACCTAAAGCCCACGCCAGCCGGGAAGTGCGAGACTAGAGTTAATGCTGCCGTTGGTGAAACTACAATGGGTAGTGTAACACCTGGAATTGGTCCCGATATATCCATATGCGTAAACGCCCTAAGGCCCTCCCATCCGTTGCCAGCTGCACGCACTGCCCGCACCCAAAAGCAAAATGAGGGGTGGTGGGGCCCCGCGCCACAGACGGGCCAGCCGCCCAGCTGACGACGAGCGCGCTACCCGCGGGCGCGGCCATGACCTCATCACGGCCCAGTCTCCGGGGCTTCATGTTCACCACCCACGCTACGTTATCACTGTATATCTAGCCTATTCTTTCGTCGCCTGCGTTTTTAAGGATTCGGCTTCGCCCGCCCGGTCCCTTCCCCCTGATTTCTCATTTAGTCCATGCCTCCCTCCCCCTCACTGCGTGTCGCTAACTCAAGTGCACATGTGCGTCTAAGACTCCCGACTAGGGAGTGTCGTAGAAGGAAGGTAAGAACCGCAGTGACGCGCTGGAAGGTAACCATACCTGTGGCGTCGCTACCCTAGGTAGAGCTGTAATCCTTGAGGAGATCCAAAGAAACGAGAGGGAGAACCAGGCAGAAATCGCAAGAGTGGCCGCACACCAGCTACGGCGCCCCAGCAGAACGCCCGTGAGCGTGACTGATGGGTAGCGGGGAGGCAGGAGGGGGAGGGGGATCCAGCGGTGCCACAAGCCAAAGGGAGGCCCGCCGCAGGCGGCGCACGGGGGGGGGCACCGCGCCCCGAGAGGCACCCGCGGCCGCACACACAGACAAAGGCGGCCGAACAGTCAATCAAAACATCCCGCGCCTCTTGGGTCACATAAGGGAACGAGCGAAGGGGCCCGACGAGCACCCAAAGCCTAAAAAAAAGACGCGCACCAAAAAAGGACAGGGAACCAGCCAAATAAAATAAACACGAGGCCAGCGATCAACGGATACACAAGGACGCGTAAAGGCACTCACAAAGTCCGGAAAAAAAAGTTAGAGAAAGGCAAAGCCAAGGGAGAACCATGTAATCCACTTGCAGCAGGACGACCGCCCAACCCCTGTCACCGCTAGGCGACAGATATGAGGGGGTCACTAGTCCCCCATTAGCGCACCGACACACAAACCCACCCACGTCGGCTCAATGTCCTACACAAGTCGCTCCCGACGACGAGGGACAAAAAACACACCAAGCGCCGGAGAGTCTAAAGAGATCGCCCAGGCGCAAGGGGCAGGCGTGTAAGAAAGCACACATACACTAGGAGCCACAAACAGCGAAAAAAAAAAGCAAAAAAACACACAAATAGAAGGAAAAAAGACAAGGAACAGCGAAAGAAAAAGGGAAAAGAAGAACGGAGGCCACAGGACAGGGGATGCTCGACGAAAAGACCACGGCAGAAGCGAGGACGGCCCCCTGTAGGAGCTGTGCTTAACTCCAATATGTAACGCCGGCACGACGACCATTGCTGACGAACATTGGCCCCACTCACCTAACCAACGGCTCAATGGGGGGGGGACCCAGCCAAGATGTGGCGTGGGTCAGCCATGAGCACACCGCAGGACACGGCACCACTGTATGGGACAGCATAGGTCGTCAAAAAAAGGGGAAGTCCGGGGCCGCCCCCGCTGTCAAAGCCCAACGGCGACGCGCACACACAAACAGCCCCAGGCAAGCCAACCTCTGTACGCCGCGCCACGAGCGCGTGCAGGCTGCCGTCACAAAGGGTAGTATACCAAAAGAAGTGCCCCACAACACAACCCCCCGCGCGTATCCGCGCCCTCTGTCTCAGCACCCCCCCCCCGACGATCAGACTGTCACCACACGCTCGCGCGCCCTACATAAAGCGAGGACCAGCACAACAACACACAATGCCCCCCCCACGCCCCTGGACACATATATCTGCCCGCAGTCCCTTCACCCATCAAGGAAAAAAAAAAAAAGTACAGTGTCGTACATGCTTGCACAGACTCATCAAGTTTCGCAAAGCCTACGGAACCTTACTGATGTTCCAACCGGAACATCGAAGACATAAACTAGTGTCGGCTTCCAGCCGAGGAGCCCAAGAGAGAACCGAGCGATAACCCCTCACACAAACCACTGTGGACAAAAATGAAACACGTCGTGATTCGACCACCACTACGGAATAGCCTTCTGTGCATAACCCTGCCCAGAGAGCGCGCGGATAACAAACACAATTCTCACAGAAAAAGGGCAACACTCCCAACGAGCCACACTCTCGCCAATCGTAGCACACGACAGTACGAGACACATAAAGACGCACACACAAGCACCAGAAAAAACACACCAAGCCGAGGTAGCGCGCCAATAATGCGGGTGTTAAGTAAATAGAGGCATGCAGGTACTATACAGCGCCGAAAAAAAAAAACACACACATACCCGGAGACTATCGCAGGACAACACAACAAAAAGTCATAAATCCTACCTGTGCAATGCAACAAAAGGCGACAGACACATGGTCCCCTTCCTACCTTCCTGGCCGAAACCCCAATATTCCCATTGCTTCAAATTCCCTAATCATGTTTCTTAGTCCTTGACTAGTAAGTGGACCTTTTTGTAACTGCGTCAAAGACCGAAATTTTGGTGAAGTATTGATAGCAGAGTCTCCGTTTTGGTAAAACAATTTCACCAGTAAAGCATGCTCCTAGAGAGTTAATGTCATCTGCCTTGACTTGGAAACGAGTATGACTGTTTCAATACTTCGATACAGAGGTGTTATATATGGTTTCTACTGCTAAGTGCAGTACTTCCCTGTAACCTGAAAGGGGTCGCATAACGGGCCTTTTTTTAAAAATAGCCTGGGTGGATCTTCAGATGAGAAAAATGACAGTTTTTATAGGGTTTCTGTGTACACACAGGATTACTATTGTTATGACATTTGCATATGACAATAGTTTACATTGCATAATGCTTTCTAGCGGGGGTTTTTGAAACTCGTTGTTTTTCCCCCTCGATAAAATTCCCATTATTTCATTCTGCAGTTACCCAATTTTCATGCAATTCTGCTGCATAGTTTTTGTTACAGAATGCTTGCAAATTTTAGGTTTAATTATGGACACACTGTATATGTAGGTATGAATGAAAACAAGAAAAAGATGGAGCAGTGTTGATGCGTAGTATGTAGATCCATATTGAAGAGGTAGATCCATATTGAAGAGGAAGAATTCTGATTGTGTAGTATGCTGAAATGTCGAGTCCACAGTATTTGACAGCCGAATAATATTAAATATTCATTTTTATTTCACTTGTAGCCACAATTTACTTAGCACTCTAATCACACCTACTTCCAGAACATTTACATTTTTGATACTATTGCGATAGGGAGACAGCATAGTAAAACTGCCTCAATGCAGCACAGAAGTTGAAGCTAAAGTGAGCATTTATTCAATACGGCAGTCTAAAAGAAAAGTTTTGGCTTAGGTTAGAAACGTTTCAGTTCTCAGAGTTTAGGTTCCGAATTAACTACATCATTAGCATTATGCAAGCGCTGTGACACAGATTAATCTAAAAAGGTCGCAGTGCAGAAATAATGTTATTCTTTTTAGAATAGAGAGAGGAAGTAGCCAAATTAAAAACCTATTGCTAAATTGAATTAAAAAGTTAATTTACATATTTTTATCTTACATATATATACATACATACACACACATGTTTTAAAAATCCTTGATGTTATACAGCAGTTTATCATTTGGTGAAAATAAATTTTAGTTTATTGAAATACCCGACTCCTTTTCCATAAAGCACAACCTGAAAAATTGTTTTGATTGATGAAAATTTTGGCACTCACAGGTTCACAGGATTTGGATCAATTTGTACTCCAGCATTATCACACAGATGCAGGCACCTTTATGCCAATTTGCTACTTTTTATAAAGACACCAACAGCTGTAAAACAATTCAGCATTTTTTATAAAAATGCTACAGCTTTCCCTGCTTAATAAATTAATCAGTAACTGAATACGAAAGCTGGACTTGTAAAATGGTGCATGCACCTTTATGAAAAATGCCAGACTGGCATAAGAGTGCCAATGATCAGTTTCAAAGGAGAAACTGGTTTACAGTCTCTGCATGCTCCTAATGCCATGGCACTATTATGAAGATTTCTGTCTTTTTGAACAGCGGTTGACTTCCATAACAATGCAGCTCTTATAAAAGGTATCCTGGTACACTGTACACCCTACCTTAGTTTGGAAAACTACTGTCCAGAGTAAAAAAGTTAATAAAAACTGTGTAGGATATCTTATTACTAACAAAAATAGTTCAAAATATGTTTAATAATATAACATAATTTAATAATATAATAAATGACGTCAAGATTATTAAGCATATAAAGTATTAAGATAATATTACTCAAAACATACTTCTTGGCTGATACTTCAGTAATGGTGACTCCAGTTTCTGCATCACCATTGAGAATTGTATGAAAAATTGGAGCTGCACCTCTCCAGCGTGGTAACAAACTAGGATGAGCATTGATGATTCCACTGGAGTGGAAAAAACAACAACAATATATAAATAAAAACATATACCGGGTGATAAAAAAGTCAGTATAAATTTGAAAACTTAATAAATCATGGAATAATGTAGATAGAGAGGTAAAATTGACACACATACATAGAATGACATGGGTTTTATAAACCAAAAAAAAAAAAAAAAAGTTCAAAGTACTGTTATCGGGCCTTTTTTTCTTCGAGGAAATGCGTGATTCTGGTTTGTAACTGCTACCGTGACGGGTGAGAAGTACGCCGATATGTTACAGACGCATCGTCCCCAGCCTGGCTGATAACACCTGCTGGAACGTATGATTTTTACGTAGGATGGCACTCCACCCCATATTGCTAGAGTGTGAAAGATCTCTTGCGAAGGTGATACGTGTGCTCAGCCGCCACTTTCATCATGCTTGGCCCTCAGGTCTCCAGACCTCAAGTCCGTGCGATTACTGGCTTTGGGGTGTACCTGAAGTCGCAAGCGTATCGTGATCGACCGACATCTCTAGGGATGCTGAAAAGACAACATCCGATGCCAATGCCTCACATAACTCTGGATATGCTTTACAATGCTGTTCCAAACACATTTTCCTCAACTACAGCTATTGTTAAGGAATGATGGTGAACATATTGAGCATTTCCTGTAAAAACATCATCTTTGCTTTGCCTTAATTTGTTATGCTAATTTTGCTTTTCTGATCAGATTATTGCTTTTCTAATAAAACCCCATGTCATTATAAGCAGTGTGGGTCAATTTTTACCTCTCTATCTACATTTATTCCGTGATTATCAAGTTTTCAAAATTTACTGACTTTTGATCACCCGGTATTATTGACCGAAGTAAAATGCAGGAGTAGAAAAATCAAATTTTAATAATAGTTGTAAAATACTGCTTAAAAGCAACTATCCATTAAACTATAAGTATATTACAGATACAAAAAAACATGCTTAATATCAAATTGTCAAAAAAAAAAAAAAAAAATACTTAACACATAGAACTTTCCCCCCTAGTTATGACAGAAACAATATTTGTATTTTAAAAAATAATCTATTACATAAAAAAGTCCCCATAATTTACATAGGAAACTAAATATAAACTAATATCATAACAAGAATACTGTCAACCCTTTATCTCCTAATCGGCATGCACTGATTTTATGGCAAAGCACATGAGGATTATCTGCCTAAGGGAAGTATGCCTTCCTGGATGACTTTCTGAGGGAAATTGGCTCGTATTCATGTTACATATGGGAAAACCGCAAAAACCACCTGCAACCAGTCCATTTGCCTGTGTTCAAAAAACAGGTTTAACTACCAGTGTTCAGCAGTCTTAGCCATTCAGACACTGGTGGATTCCTGTGTCCAGAGAATTAATTTATTAATATTTTTTTATTTTTTAAAATTCATGTATTTTGTTTTTAATCTTATTTAAAAGTCTAAGATATTAGCTGAGTTCCCTATTATCTTTATGTTATCAATTTGCAATCAAATGAAAATTTCTAAAAAGATCTTTTTTATCTAAATGATCAATTTGCTTTTGTTTGGAATCTAAATGTTATGCAGTTTCATCATAATAATTAAATTTTATTTTGGATGCAGGCAACAGTTAGGAAGTTTATAATACATACAATAGGATATTAGAAATCCATTTTATTTATGACATTCAGAATATAAAACATCATTTCTAGCAAATTACTGTTAAGGATTAGATAAAATGACTTTTTACATAATTATTTTATGCTGTACACAGAAACATACTTTTATATTATCAAAGATAAACAAAAAAAACTTTATTCATCATTCATCGGCAAAACAATTATTTACAGTTAATGAACAGGATTGTATTGCAAATTGAACTGAAGCCTTAAAAAATTGCCAAAAATAAATGATACAGAGACAAGCAAATAATTAATTTGAATTAAATAAAATAGTGCCTTAAAACTTTATCTCGGAAATTATTTTGTGCCACTTTTCTAACACACCAGTGTCTGAGTGAATTACAAATTTTCAAAAAGTATATATAAATTCGAAATAAAATTTGATACCTTCTATTAATATAGAATGAGAATTTATTTTGCTCATCAGTTGTTTATTGACAAGTAATAACCTACTCTATGAAACAGAATATAAGCATTTCCTCCACCAAGAAAATTTATGCTGACATTCCACGAAAATCGATTTTAAAATCTGTACATTTACGATTTTCTAGCCACGGAAGGTAATACCTATCTGCTTTTTATGCTGATGATTGTCTCATTTTTTAGAATTCAGATGTCTAAATCATGAGATTCAACATCTCGAGATTAAAATGCTTTATAAAGAATCATTATGTCAAAAATGAAAGGTAAATATCAATGCTGAAAAGTCTAAGTTTCTTTCATCAGAAAATAGCACTGATCTGACCCAATCACTACTTATTAACTTGTTAAATCTATTGCCAGAGTACATAATACTAACAAAATAGTTTTCATGGTCAAGATTTACCAACCAAATGACGGAAAAGCTTAGATGCCTATTTTCAAATTTACATTAATTTTATTTAGAGTTCTCCCTTGGATCTGAAAATAAGAGACATATTAGTGATCATATTTACATAGCGATAATCCAACTGATTATTATCTGTACGGGCTAACTCCTGCAATCAAAATACAAAACTACTTCAGGGAATTCAATTTCCTCCATCTAATTCTAGGTCCTCCCTATTACTTAAGAAATATTTTTTTACATAAATTCCTGAAACTTTCCATGACTCAAGAATACCTGAACTAAATAAATCAAAATTTTCTGAAATGGCATGGAATAATAATGCTACACATTTCATTGACAATCTAGCTCAATCTTGAAGAAGACGTTTTAGAGTGGCTTCATGCTATACACATCATCAGAATTTCATATTTTCTGTAATAAGTTAATTTTTGTATATACGTTAGCTGGCGCTTATTAACTCATTGGTTAATAAACTTTGTAGCTTATTACATTCAAATTTCTAGGCAGCAAAACAGACACATCGTGATCAATAGAAAAACTGCCATTGAATAGAAAATCAACTCATCTCTGCTGCTTATTAAAATCAGATTAGCAAAAGATTGACTTTTCAGTGCCAGAATATCTTATCTGTACCTATCAAAGCTCCAAGTAGTTCTTTCATTTAATATTATGGACTGTTGCTTTGTCACTCAGGTATGCAATACTACTTAAATAAAGCAGGTTTAATCAAAAATTCCGTAGCTATGGTCCCTGTGCTATGGAATTCAATTTCCTCCATCTAATTCTAGGTCCTCCCTATTACTTAAGAAATATTTTTTTACATCAATTGAGCTGGGACATAACTGGGGACATAGGTGTTGTATTTTTTAATATTATAGTGCTCCATTTTATTGCTAGCTATTTCTTTTCTCTCTTCTCACATATAATAGTATATATACAGAAAACATTGTAGCTACTTATGTAAAATCATATTAAATCACAGAGAAGTTTTAAGATAAACTGGTTCTTATTCACAACACACATGGAAAAAGCAAAGAAAAATTCCATGCAGCAGCCCTTTGCCAACTTTTGGTACTCTTCTGTTATCAGGGCCAGATTCAAAAATGTATGGATGGATGGATGTGTTCATGTACACATGTATATATATATGTTGTATGAACTTAAATCCATTTAGTGCGAATACAAGTTATTATACTGTGCAATTGCTGCAAAAGTTAGTTAATAATAATTTATTTCCTAAACAGTATTGATTAATTGATTATATTATCTCCTAGTTTATTAAAGTAGAATTATTTAAAAGTGTGCATCCATACTGGTAAGTTACAGTCAAATCGTTAATCCGGACTCGTCGGGACTTCGGCGATTCCGGATTATCGATTTTTCCGGATTATAGATCATCAGTTTAAATCTCGTAAGATGGCATGCAGAAATTCTAAAATTAAAAATATGAAACCGTAATTTATGAAATAAAGAACAATTATGATCTAAAGGGTATCAAAATTTGCAAAAAGAAAAAGCTTAATATTTATTTGTTTACTTTATTAAACATTTCTTTCTTTCAATGTAAGTTGTTTTAAGTTTTGCTTCGTTTCATGTGATAATACTTTCTCTTTAATTCTATTAAACAGACATAATTTCTTGTTCAGTTACAAAGTTCCGCCGTTCAAGTCCTATAATTGCTGTGTCAAGAACACCGACTAATTTGTCAATCGAAAATTTTTTTGTTTTCAATAACCTCTGTCACTTTTCTTCTTCGCTATCGGAAGCGAATTATAATGACGAGGAACTTGTTTTAAAAATCATATCAAAGACGGAGCATATCGAGATGAAATACTACATTTGGTAAGGAATTATAAGCCAAATAAAATAAAAACATCTGCGCTGAAGATAAGGATAGTGCTGACAAATCAACTTCCAATTCATTACGCGCCCGCCGCCGAGCAGCGTGAAATTGATAAACAGATTTCGGATTTCAAAACACACTTTGCTTTAGATCCTTTACATATTAACAAATATATATCGGAAATTCTATTTGATATAATCGAAAGTTTAAGCTTACTTTTATAAAATTGCTCTTACAGTCTGCAAAAAATAATAAGCCGGATGCAATTCGAAAATTAAGGAACAACGCAATCATCAACATTAACTGAAATAGATAATTAGATAATTTTAGCTTATACATAAAATGCGCACGCGAAAACGTATTCTGCACTTGCGCACACTCATATGCGCAGTCGTAAAAGGTCTTACGCGCACGCGTGAACGCCTCTGCGCATGTGTCAACGCGGCGCATGCGCAGAAAGTTTTTAGTTTTATGGTCCGGATTATAGATCATTCCAATTATGGTGTCCGAATAACGACTTTTAACTGTATTATTTGTAGAATTAAACATGAATTGTCATCTGAAATCGAATTCAAAGTAAAGTTGAAATAAACATAGAAGATTATAAAGATAATAATGCAAACTTGTAAAAACAAATCAAGAAAACATAAAAATAATATAAAAATAATATAGAAAATAATAAAAAGATCAGTGATGTACTGAAGATATAAAGGCCAGAAAGGTTAAGTAACTTACATGTCTTCTAGTGGGGGAGTTGGCAAAGTGTTCTCTTCGTGTCTGACTCAGAAGTGTAGGGTGTCCGAAAATTCTTAGCGGCAGTAGGGGCTCTGAATAATATCAGTCGTAAGACTTGGTGAAGTAATTTATGGTAGTGGGGGACTTGGAATTCTTGAGGGATGTATTTTGTTGAGTTCTTATCTGAGAGAGACCGTCTGTTAGATTTTTTGAAAATACTAGTGAATGGAAATTAATTAATTTTTTGGCTAATTGTCGTGTCGCAATGATTAAGAATTTAAGAAAGGAAAAGGCATTTTTCGCTGTCCTTTGTGGCCTTTATATCTTCATGTACATTCACTGATCTTATTTATTATTTTCTATATTATTTTTATTTTTCTTTGATTTTTTTTACAAAGTTTGCATTATTTATCTTTGTTTATAATCTTCTATGTTTATTTCAACTTTACTTTGAATTCGATTTCATGATGACAATTTCCAATGTTTAATTTCTACAAATAATATAGTTTTCAAATACATAAAGATGATAGTGTCCGGGGACGGTTTACTCGAGTTTTACAAGATTTCTCTCTACAGTAATTTGATTTTTACTCCTTCCAATTGAATTGACTAAAATGCTTCATGAATAAGTAAGTTCTTTGAGTAGCAACTATTCGCGGAAATATTTGGTGGCCTGACTAAATTGCCGGTTTGGCTTTAACTTATAACTCGAGTAAAGACGAAACACTTTCATATTTACGTATTTTTATCAATTATTGTTCATTGAACGGGAGTTGGTGTTGTTCCCCTTGAAAAGTCAACTAATTTCCGATCAATGACAATAATTACATGTTTTAATTTTCCTTTTACAATTGAAATATTATTCTACGTGATGATTAACTCCAGTCCCCGTTAAAAACATTATTAACATTTTGCTTTCAAATTACTTCAAAACATCTTTCAAAATATAACTTACCAGTATGGATGCACCTTTTAAAATAATTCTACTTTAATTAAACTTAGGAGATAATATAATCAATTAATCATACTGTAATATATATATGTATATACATACATGTGTGTATATACCAGGGCTGTGAAGTCAGAGTCATAGAGTCGGAATCGGAGTTGGGCAGATTTTAGAGTAAAAAGATTCAGAGCTGGAGTCGCTAAAAAACGTTGACCCTGAGTCTAGTTTTGTGGGACAGTTTGAATTTGAAATGAAATTAAAATGAATTGAAAAAAATTAATCACAAGCTGAGTTATTATTTTTATTTATGCACTGTATACATTAATAAATAGTTATTTTCTATTTTATTGACATATTACTAATAAATAGAAGGGAAGAGGATGGATGTGATATTTGCCATTAGTGATTAAACTGATTCATTTAGTTACAAATCTCATTGGTAAATTTAGGTAAGCAGCAATAGCTGCAAGAACTTCCAAAATTGATGACAATCTTAGGAAGCGAGCAGGAAAAGGAGCAATTATTGATCAAGCAACACAATAAGGAAGTACATATTTGATGATAAAGAGGTTTTTAGAATTAAGAACATTTTTAGAAGATGTAGATAACCCTAATGTTTCACTAACAGAAAGACTATGGAATGATCTTGCAGAATTGAAAACTCTTCTTTCTATACTGTATATAGCCACAAAAATGTTGCAATCTGCATAATTGATAGGAGGCGAGAATGGAAGAATGGGATGTTTGTTCTTTCTGAAATGGAGGGTTTATTGCAGAAGGAATTATTTCTTCAATGAAGAAAAGAGAAACTAGTTTGCTAGACAATGAGATCTTGCTGGGTTCAATATATGTAGATCCGAAATACTGAATTTTCTTGGATGATGAACAAATTAAAAAGGCAAAGAAAGCCATCTATGAACTTTCACTAAGAATGAAATTATTCTCAGAAAAATTGGAGAATTCGAATCAGAACAGTCAAACTGCAGACATTGCAATTGAGTCTCTATCATCCTCTTCCACTTATGAATTAGATTTTGAGACATATTTTTGGATAATATAGAAAAGGCTAATGCAAAGCAAATGAGAATAAAGAACCAAGAGCCTTTACATATAAAAATGAAAAAATACAAACAAGATTTCTACACGGCCTTTGAAGAAATAGAGAAATATGATTGCACTTGCAAGACACCTCTTTTACTTATAAAAATATATCCTGAAAAGTTAAAAGAAGTAGCCCTAACAGTAGCAGCTCTTCTCCCTATTCAAGTTAGTGGGAAAGACTCTTCTCAGCTCTGAAGTTTATCAAATGGGATCTATGGCCCTCCAACAAAGAAGCCCTTGCCGAAGCTATACTGTTTCTTAGAAATAACTAATGCCAGTTTTTTCCATTTCATAATAAATGCTAATTAATATAATAATTTGCTATGCCATCAATTTTTTTTTTCTGTAGCTATATATACTTCTTTTAATTATTAAAAATGAGCTGTAATCCATGTGTAAGTTTACATTATATATATATATATAATATTTATACTATATATACATGAGGAAATCGGAGTCGAGTCGGAGTCTTTAAAATTCCAGGAGTCGGAGTCGGCCATTTCCCCTACCGACTTCACAGCCCTGGTCTAGCACACATGCACATATACACATGCATACATAAATTCATTTCTGAATCTGGTCCTGATAAAAGAAGAGACCCAGCTTTTAAACCTGGACCAAACTATCAGTGTTCATAAATTTAACCATTCAGCTACTAGTAGACTCAATTAAACTAATACCTGCAATTAAAGTTAATAAAATCTATTAACATACTTACTATTTGCAAGCAAGAATACTTTCACTTGGAATCAGATGTCCAAATGATACAACAATCCCAACATCATAAACACCCACTGGAACATCATATGGCCATGTATGTACAGTTAAATTATGCAACTCTGCATATCTTCTTACTCTGCAATCTGTCTTAGGAATTAAATTGAATTGTTAAAATATGAAATCATACTGCTTAATACAGCCTTAATATGTTCATTTTTAATATCTGTTAATATAATAGCATGATATTTTCATAATAGTCAGCACAAACATGAAAGACCATTAAAAATATACTTAGGTGTTTAAAACTGACAGATATCAAGGGTTGGGAGGTATGTTTTCTGAAATATATAAAATTAATATATTTAAATAAAAAATTATAAAATCACTCATGATAAAAATCATTTATAGTTAAACTTTAGCCCAAAAATAAATCAGCGGACATAATAAAATTTTAATTTACGAAGTTTTGCATTTTCAAAGCCAAAAGCACAATTCATACTTATATAAAACCATACAAAGCATTTAATTCTTACTTTTATTGCAAACACATACACATCCATATCTATCTGTATATATAATTACAATGAAATTTAATTTTTAGTAGAATTGTGGATATAAATAATATTTACATATAATTATATACCACAGAGTGAAATCAGTCCATAAGGAACAAAACACTGACTTTAATTGAAATTTTATTGATGCAATTACAGAAATGAATGAATATGCATGATTGTAAAAACACAGTAGAAGAACATTAATAAAGGGATCTCTGCTTAGCAGTCCATTCATCTTCTGCACAGACTCTTAATGCTTCAGACTACAATTTAGTGAAGCAGGGAGTCAAACATTTGATGCTCTCTACTGGATGTTGGTTCAATTTCCTATGCAATAGGATCCAGATCCCTGATACTGCAGCATGATTATAGCTGGCATATCAAATGATTCTATACAAGCTTGACAGAAAACAGATCAGATTAGTGGGCAGATTATGGAGATGTCTAGACATGAAGCCAGTCAAAGAAAAAAAAAACGCTATTTGTGGCATATAAATTCTAGCTGACAATGAGAGCACATGAAGCTACCGTACCTCATATAGATACAGTTTTAACAAATTTTAAAACCAATGAGCAAGCCTATAAACAACAAGAAGGATTCTTTATGAGAGTTACAGAGCCTCCTGTTTTGGTTGTAATTTATGTGCAATATGTCAAAAATTTTCTTAAAAGTTCTCCCAAAAGCTCATTTTAGGAATAGGTATATCAATGATATTTTTGCCCAATAGAAATATTCAGTAAATTCAAAGCACTTTTTTCTTCATTTAGCTCAGAAATTTTTTCTAAATTACAGTTTACAGTTAATAAAGAAATCAGTAGGATCATTCAGTTCTGCTTCAACATTCTGAAGAAAGCTTGTCATGGTAAGCTATGGTTCACTAGACATTAATGTATACAGTGATGGGAATACTTCACTTGATAGGCACTACTCTATTATTTACCAGACCTCCATACCCACACAAATGATCATCTGGTCCCAAAATAAACTGGAAAGCATCACTAAGCAAATCAATATTATTAGTATATGATGTTTTAGATTTCTCTGAATCGATACCATTGCAAATGGAGCCACTGAGGTTTCCTTGTCAAAGGAAGCTCTCATAAGAGGTGCTGGATCAAAGACTCACTTTGAAAAACAAAAATGTCTTGGTTTACACATTAAAACACTGCTTAGGTTAGAGCCATCACAGATAACCCATCTGCTACATTAGCTAGAATAATGAATGGCTTGAACAAGATCACCTCTTTTTGTTCCTGTCATACAAGTTGCAGTGCTATTTGAGAATTGATATTCACATATATGGAAGACTTGAAGAAAGGACTATATTGCAACATAATCTTATGGGGATTCTGATAGCATCACTAATTTTAAAGTGATCTTCATGATGGGATTGTTGATGTTCTAACAATTATTTTACAAAGGATGAGTAATTTTCATTGTTATATATACTGACAGAGAATTTATAACTATCTAGCTTATGCCAAGATATTCTTCTTGATAATTTTCTACATGTCAAACCAATATACTGAGTTTTAGTATTTGTTTCTTTGTTATGGACAGGAATAATAAAAATACCTGATGTGTTAGTTGTACTGGCATCTGATCTATCCAACCTTAACAATTTCCAAATGGATAGAGCAAGAATTATGGTTAATTTACAGGTAAATCTTTTGAAAACTAAGCTGATGTATATTTGTGGGGTAATAGGATAGCAAGGCAATATTCAAATGAATTTACTTCAGTTTGGCTGTTGTATCTATAGCAATTTTATTTTTTTCTGAAGTAAATGCAGAAATTTGTCTTTTTATTTTATTGTTAAGTTTATGAACAAAGTTGAGTGCATATTTATTGTGTGCTGCTAAATGTAAAATGTAAACTCTATAGTAATGCTAAATGCAAAATTGTAAAATGTTCTTATATCTATTTTTAAAAAGTTTAGGTGTAGAAGAGAATTCCTCAGCATATAATTAGTATAAAATTTAGTTCTAAAGATAAAGGCACCTAAGAACTGAATGATCCTACTGATTTCTTTATTAACTGTAAACTGTAATTTAGGAAAATTTTCTGAGCTAAATGAAAAAAAAAGTGCTTTGAATTTACTGAATATTTTTATTGGGCAAAAATATCATTGATATACCTATTCCTAAAATGAGCTTTTAGGAGAACTTTTAAGAAAATTTTCGACATGTTGCACATAAATTACAACCAAAACAGGAGGCACTGGAACTTTCATAAAGAATCCTTCTTGTTATTTATAGGCTTGCTCATTGGCTTTAAAATTTGTAAAAACTGTGGATGAAATGAAAGGTTTCATGGCTTTTCATTCATAATAATTTCATGACCATGGTTAGGCAAATTTGAATGTAATTTTTAGCTGTTCAATCAAGGTTTTTACCAAAAGCATGTGAGATTCAAACCATCCCATTTGAGACAAAAAACAGATATAATATCTCCATGCATGACACAAAAACATATACTACTACTTAAATTCAGTATTCTGGTTTAAATCTACAGAATTATCAGTACGAACTGCCAAGGACAAGAAAGTTATTTATAAAATTTCATCAATTAATACAGAAATAAAAATATCACACCTTGGTAAAACACAGCCCTACCATGTTAAAGCAAATTTCAAAAGACCAAAAGTTTATTTACTCTAGTAAAAAAAATGGATTATCTCACAAAAATATGAAAAAATTCACTGATAAATCACAAAAAGACTAATTAGCATTGTAACATCTGGCAAAAGAAATGAATAAATTCTAATAAAAATTATGTTAAGGATTAAAAACAATTGCTATATGTGTAATTATTAAATTTGCTTTTTACTCTTTTTGAGTTTTACTGCATGTCAATAATTTTACATAAATTATCAGCATTAAGATCATTGCAACTTCTCCCTGAAATATATATTGTCCTCTAAAATACATATTTATAATTATGAATAATCATTTTCAAGACACAATATGATCCTCTAAGACAGGGATTCCCAACAGGGTCGGTAAAGACCCTTGGAGTTGATGAAATTTTAAAAGGGATTGACAACTAAATATGTATCGGCAACTGAATGACATAATCAAGATCACATTAATTATAAAAAATGCATTAAAATTGATAATTAATTGTTTATTGATATTAGAAATTGCTTACTGGAAAAAAAAAGGAAAACTAATGACACAGTTATCTGCATCTACTCTTTCACCCATGCTGGCCAGTGAAACTTATTAACAGAAGTTATGCTCAAATGCAAATTATATCATCAATATATAAGTATACCCTTAACATTTCACTAGAAAACACTAAGCTAACTGCTGCTTTTTATATACATGCTACATAATTTACTTTTACACTGAGAAAAATAATAATCAGACAGTACCTTGATACAAACAATATCTAAGCTTTTCACAACTTTTGAAGGACTTGGTGACAATCTAAAAAACATAAATTTTATCATCACAATATTATTAAAGTAATACTGTTTACTACTAACTTTACATACGAAATTTATAATCTTAATTAGAAAATGCATGTCCTTTCCACAGAAATATAATTAAATTAAAAAAAATATTTTATTAAAAACAATGAATTAGAAATTAGTAGCCAAAAGGGGCATTAGCCCAGCAGGGCTATTAGTCTTGAAACAGCTTTTTGCATTGAATCACTTAATTACAATGTATCACTTTTAAAATTGTTGCCACCAAATATTATCACCCTGTATTATATTTAAAGAAACTAAATAATGAAGATTCTGCCTGAATGTATGTTTCTAATATTGTGAAAAAACAACAGTACCTAGAACCATCAAATTTTGAATAATGTAGTTCTCCACTCGAATTTAAGCACCTGGAAGCTCGAATTTGGAATTTGTTTTAGTTTTTTTTTTCTTTATATTTTGTAAAACTTTAATGAATTTTTGACTAAAAAAGTCAACAATTTCAAAGACAGCAGTGACAACACTGTAGGGAAGAAATATTTTTATCTCCAGCACATGAGACTGTCTAACGGAAATTCTAAAGATATGCTATTTTACAAATGCTCTCGAAACGTGTATATGTCTGTAAGTCTGTAAATAATAATAATAATAAAAAAATACTAGATGTATTTTTTTATTATTATTACAATTTAAATTGTTTTTAACCACTGCAAAGACTAAGAAATACATGGAATGCACATGCTAATAAATGTGCATGTTTTGTTTATCAAGTCTCATTAATGACCAGCCAGTAAATTACTTGGCCATGAATTTAATTCATAATGTATACAAGTATTCGATCTTTAAATACTGTTGTGTGGATATATATAAGTAAAAATATTTATTTAATAATTAATGTATTAAGTTCAATACTATCAGAACCATTAAACTGTACCTAAAATTAACAACAATATATTTATTTAACAATTGATTTTGCTCAGATAATTTAACATCATTACAGAAATGAAAATTACATAAAGCAATATAATATTCAAAATAAATACAAATAAGTGAATACCTCAGATGCAATAAGAGGCAATTTGGTACTTACGTATTAACGCAACCAGGCGAAAATTCGCATAAATCGCCAAATTTGGCAACCCTACGTGTGTAGAAATAGACGAAAGTTTATTTGTAAAAAGAAAAAATAACACTGGGCGTGTACTACCACAGCGTTTTCGGCGGAATTTGCCGAGAAAAGAAAGAGACGTTTTTGGGTTACTGTACCTAACAGAAGCGCCGTTACCCTCATGGAAACAATTTGCGAAAATATCAAGGAAGGAAGCATCATTTATTCGGATTGCTGGAAAGAATACAATACAAGTGAGTTCAAAAATGCTGAATTTCTGCATGGAACTGTTAATCACAAATATAACTTTGTGGATCCCAACACGGGCATTCACACACAACATGTAGAGCGCATAAGGGGCTCAGCCAAATGGCGCAACAAAAAACAGAGAGGAACAGCCTGTCATCATCTTGATTCATACCTTATCGAATTTATATGGTGCCAAGCTCAAGCTGTTAATGGCGAAGATGGTTTTCAATCAGTGCTAAAAGCAATAGCGAAAAGATTTCCGCCGAAAAAATAATTCTGCAACTTATTCAAATTTGAAACCGGAAGGGTTTAATTGCTATTTTATATTTTAAAACAAAATAATATAAAAAACTGTATTAAAAATTATCTGTAATTAATAAATGTATATTTTCTTTCTATTCATACTTTTTTACTCAAACTTACATATTGCGCCAACCTGGTTGCGATAATACGTAAGTACCGATAATTTTAACTTAAAACAAAACATTATACAGGAAATATATTGTCAAAATTCTTATTAGTACTATGATAATGAAACTTGAATGCGTGTGAGGAATCGGGAGAAATTTTCTGGGTATTTATCGCAGCCACCGTAATAGAAGTCGCTAAATTTTTAGAATATGCCAAATTCTGGCAACCATGCAGGTAACCATTCCTCAGGCAACTGGGTGCATAACAATTCTTCAGTCAAGCAATGCCGACATTCTTGCATACATGCTTTTTGTTGCAGTTCAAGTTCCAACAGTTTTTATACACAAATTGCCAGAATGCTTTTAATTTAAAATAAGCACTTGTATAATATGGCAGCAAAGAAAGAAACTGCACCAAAATTTCTGCAGGGATACAGCATTTCATCTCAAAAATGGCTAAAGAGAGCAATGATGAGATAGGCTGGCATACAGCCAATGCACAATGGCAAGGTAATGCCTTGTTTCTGCAATTTTCTGATGCTTTTTAAGTGAAAACAGATTGTTGTATACACAGGGAGAACAAGGAAAACAATACAGAGGATATCTCAAAAGCTGTGATTCTTCTTAAATTGTAAAATTTTATTCTTTTAAATGTACCACATAAATTTTATTTAATAATTAAAATTTCTATTTTGGTATGTCGGTAATGTTTACTGAGTATAAATATCAATGGTTTGTGAATCCTTTTTGAAAATAACACAAAAATCGGCAACTTGCTCCCAGTAAGTAGCTTTTCTTCTGAAAAACTCACCAAAGTGGTTGTAATAATATATAAGTACCCTCTTCTGTTTAGGGTGCTGCATCTTTTCTTTTTAAGAAGCAGAGTGATGAAATTTCTCTAAATATAAGACTTTCGTGGCTAGCTATTTCAATAAAATTACAGCTAAAAAAAGAATAACACACTTTAAAAACTCTCGATTCATAATACTTACTTTGAAAACAAGAAAATTTTTACCTCATCCAACAGGTTTTGAGCCTGTGAAGCTCCTCTATGCCCCTAATTCCCCAAAGTAGCATTCTCTCAATTGACAATAAGTTACAAAACCATATTCCCTCCTATGTTCTATTATGCCTGTCATGTGTGAACATATTCTTGCTGAATTAATAGGAATGCTCTTAAACCTTCTAAAATAGTCTGCTAAGATTCAGACAGTCCCTAATATGTCACAATTTTTTTTTTAATAGCGGGAACTAGTCATTTTAGACTTTAACCCCTACTTAGGACTACTCTTACTTTTGGAGAGAAGTGGTGGTCATTTTATTATGGAGGCACCTAACAAGTGGCCACTATTACCTTCTGTGAAGGGACAGGCAGTTTACATTCATGCCTTCTCCAGGATTCGAACCCAAGCTGGTACAGTAGTAAGAGTCACTAACCACTTCTCCATATGGGCGGTTAACAGGAATATTAAAATGCATGAACAGTTCAATATAGCACAGTTATGAGCCTATTACTGCAACTGGCATACCAGTTTCATATAAAACTCAGACAGAGCAAAAATAGCATAATCCCAACTTAAAGTCCCCTTGTAACATAAGTATCCCATGATCATACTAAGTACTCACCCATAAATGGTGTTATCTACATATATTTCTTATTTTATTTTACATTCTTTGTACTGAAACTGCAATTTTGTATTAAGATTGTAAATATATTTTATGTTTTAATGTATTTCTTTTGTACCGGCATCTATGTTTTATGATTAGCCCTAACGGAACAGGTGTATCACATTTCAGCCCCCAACTGTGTCAAACAGTTGGGTGTGTCATATATGAATCACCATTTAAATCCAATGTTAGGATGGATGTACAACATATGAAGTTTTAAACAGAATGTTCATATCTTTTTTGTCACTAAATTTAGTCCTATGTCTGTTATGGTGGTTTTCATCGAGAATGGAGAATACTGACCTACATTTCACCACAGTATTTTTTATTTTTGGCGTTTTGTTTCAAAATCAGAGCAGAAATCTTAGGTTGAGTAACATAAATAATAAGAGCTGGCTATTAACTGCATCAGCTGATATAAACACATGGGGATGTCTTCGATGTTTCTGAATACTTTTGTCTTATTTTTGGCATTATGGGGATATACAGTACAAAGTCCGTAATCTGCGAAGCAGGTCGTTTCGACACCGCGTTTCGACACAGGGACAGTTCGACGCCATAATTTTTTTTTTCATATTTTTATTTATTTTTAGAATAAATATGAAGTAATATAAATAAGTAATATGACTGATTTTTATTTATTGAATTAGCGATTGTTTGCATGCATATTTGAAATAAATATATGTGTGTATATGTGTGAAAGTGTTCTAGATTTTTGTTTGTGTCCCAGATTAGTGAGAAGCCCCCTCGCCAACGTCAAGGCCCCCGGACATGAGGGAGGTTTTTTTTTTTATTTATTTATTTAACAAAACAGCATCAAAAAGGCAAAATACACAAATGGTAAATAAACATATGGTTACAAAGTAGTTATATAATATTGCAGACAAATATAATTACAGATAAATAAGATTACATCACAGAACTGTTATTATACTAATCCATTGCAAAATTATGCACCACACCTTTCAGGTATTCCATTATTTCTTGATTTTCAAAATCTTCAACTATTACTTTAATTCTTATATCAGCTCGCAGATACCTATTCCGCTTGTACGGCGGTTCATCTTCACGTACAAATTGTTCGTAACATTGATCAACTGATTTTTGAACATGCCTGAGACCATCTATGAATTCCCATAATGTGGGGTGTGAAACACCAAATGATGATGACACCAAATTTATTTGAATGATGAAGCAAACTTATTCTAAAAATAAATAAAAATACGAAAAGTATGGTGTCTAACAAAAGCAAAAAAAGTATGGCGTCGAAACGACCTTCGTGTCGAATTGACCACACATCAAAACGCTGGCGACGAACCGTTGGCATCAAACTGACCTGTATAGCGTAATCCAGATGTCCATTATCCGGAATGATCTATAATCCGGACCTCAAAGCCACAAACTTTTTTTTTGTATGCTTTATGAATGCGCATACATTACACGCCCTATACTTCCACAATTATAATACCTTGGTTCGTTACTCTTATTAAGTATAGCGCATGCTTTATTTTGTGTGTTAGTACTTGAATAACCCTTATTCTTCGTATCTGGAACGTGGATTTTCTCATAAATTTTTAATTTCTCTTAGAATTCAGAAATAGTTTTACACCCATACAAAATATTTTTTTTACTACTCTGATTGGGTATCCCATTGATTACATAATCAAGAATTGATGAATCATCAACAGAATCGCCACTGGCTATTTCACTCATGGCAATTAAATATTTGGAAAGGGATTCACCAGGTTTTAAGTGTTGTTTAAGTCCAAACATAGTCTAAATGAACCGCATTTTTTTCTACTTAGCACGATATTATTTGCGTAATCAAAACAGCTTGGCTTAATAATTTGTTTCTCTAACAATTTCATGTTGCTCTGTGGGGGGGGGGGGAATGTCGCGATGCGCAATGAACTGGAAGTTGATCTGTCAGCACTATCCTCATCTTCAGGACAGATTTTTTTTTTTTTTTTTGCTTATAATTCCTTACTAAGTGTAGTATTTCATCTCGATGTACTTTGATATATTAATCAATTTCCTCGTCATTATAAATATCAGGAATACACATCAAATCATTTTCTGGTTGCAATTTTCTAATTTTGACTATGCATAATGTATGCTTTACCATGCATGCGTTAAAAGAAATGTTTAATAAAGTAAAAAAATAAATATTAAGCTTTTTTTTTTTTTTTTTTTTTTTTTTTTTTTTTTTTGTTTTTTTTTTTTTTTTGAAATTTGATACCTTTTAGATCTATATTGCTCTTTATTTTCATTAAATTACGATTTCATATTTTTAATTGTATAATTTCTGCATGCCATCTTACCAGATTTAAATTCATGACAAATAATTCGGAAAAACCCCTAATCCGAAACCGCCAAAGTCCCAGCGAGTCCGGATTACGGACTTCGCACTGTATATCCTATTGTTTTAGAGATTTTATTCATTCCTCTTTGAGTTTGGCTAGCAATGAGGAAAATATTTTGTGTATCGTTTAGCAAAACATTTTTTATACTTCATACGGCAAAGAAAATATGATGATAAAGATTTCAAATTAATTCCAGAGACTACCTAAGTGTTACTCTCATTACCATTCAAGCAATCCAAAAGAATTGCTTGAATGGTGTATGAGTGTAGGATTAATTGCGGATAAGTATGAATGTCCAACATGTGGGAATGAAATGAGATTGTGTGAAAGGAAAGATATTACAGATAAGTTTGAATGGCGGTGCAAATCTGGTGAAAATGGACATTTTGTGAAACGGTGTGTAAGGAAGGGTATGTGGTTTGCTGAAAGTCGTTTGAGTATGGGTGAAATTTTATTAATTTTTATTTTAGTGGGTGAATAGACTGCGAGTTGACTACTGGATTATTGAAATCTATAAGAAAAGTTTATATCGCCATGCAATCAAGATTGTGAAGAAGAAGATTAATAAGTTAGTTATTTTTAATCATTTGAGGATATTATTTTTATGCATGTAAGGAATAAATGAAAGGAATAAATAATTAATGTGGTATTATTGGAAAATTGTTATTCGCATGAATTAGTTTAAAGTAATTAGGATTGTAAGCTAATTTTTATCAATTTAATGTATGTGCTTATTTATATTTTGAGTAGTGTTTTTAAAATTATTATATTTTAATTTTATGATCGTGCTTTTGTGAGTTATATGTTTGTAGTATTTTGGAATATGTTTGAGTAGAATACGTTGAGTATTTTTATGCATTTTCGTGAAATTTTTCTAATTTATATGAGAAAAAAGCAGTGTACATGGATATAGTGAAGAGTGTGCGCAATGCCATTTTGTGCAATTCTGGGATGTTTTTTTTAAGTAAAAATAAGTTGACGTGTACATTGTTTAGTGATATTTTAATTAAAATTAAATGATAGTTATTTTGTGAATTTTATGTTTATAGCAATTTGGTATACGTTTCAGTTGAAGTAAACGTGCATGGAAATAATTTAAATATTTGACACTAAGTATTTGTAACCCATTTGTAATGTTTGCGGTATGAATTCGTTGGTGACATTTATAATATAATAGATAATTTAGAGGTAAGGTACTATTACGTTTTGAGGACTGTAAAAAATTGCAGCAAAAATGTATGCACAAAAGCACCAAATCTAGCAAACGCGTCCATTCAACAGTGCTCCAAATCTAGCGTACGCGCTGATTTCAGATTGCGTAAGTTTATATAGTTCTATATTTCTTAAGACGCCATTGAAATATACTAGTTTAATTTTTAAATCCTTTTTTAATATCCTATGGATTTAACAATTTGTGAATTGCCCATGACAAAAAGTCGGCAATAGAATTTTAGGTAAAATGCAAAATCACCCACTGCTTGACGCGTTTTTAAGAATTGCACATACTCGGCATCCATGTGCACATCGACTTATTTTCACTTAAAAAAAAATCCCAGAATTGCACAAAAATGGCACTGCGCACACCCTTGGCTTTATTTATGTACACATCGACCTATTTTCACTTAAAAAGTGAAAGAAAATTGACAAAAATCAAATTGATTTTAACCCTTGTAAAAAGCGGCAAACAAATAAGTGAGCGATTCTGCACTTTACCGAGAATATTTTCAAAGAAAAGGCATCATTCATTATAGAAAATTACGAATGAACAACCAACGAGATGAAATTATGCTTGGCTGATCTTTAGAATATGGTAACTGGTAACTTGGCGACATTTTGGAGGCGATAAAGGTTACTACCTGGACTTTGTAATAATGTGAGCAGTACTCAGTTCCGATTACGCATTATTTTGTATGAGGGAAATGAGAGATCATGGGATATTTCATGTGATATTAATGGACGAATTACGGTTCTTTAATCAGAAAAGGGGGCAAATCGGAAAAAATCTGGAAATTTTGTATTTGGCTTTATTCTGTGTTGTGTGAAACAGTGTTCGTTAATTTTGGATCCCATGGCCCTAACTAAAGTGAATTCGAAATGGGTATTTAGTGGGATTGAAAGGGGTAGTAATAGTGTTTCTTTAAGGTTGTGCGAGATAGAAGTAAAGACGTTTTAAAGTTATTTATTTTACCTGGTACCTTGGTGTGAACTATAAGTATGATTTTAAAGATCCTGAAACAGAAAGAAAAGTTTACGGACACGTAATCAAGATTCTGAAGAAGAATAGGTAAGTTAGTATTTTTAATTATTTGAGGATATTATTTTTATGCATTGTTCTAAATGTAAGGTGGAAGTAAAGTAATTTGCGTAAATGGCATGGAATAATTTAAATATTTGACACTAAGTATTAGTAACCATTTGTAATGTTTGTGGTATGAATTAGTTAGTTAGGTATGAATTAGTTAGAGCGGTATGAATTAGTTGTAATCTAATAGATAATGTAGAGATAAAAATTTTTGGATATTTTATTTATTTTATATGGGGAAATGTTCATATTTGGAAAGGGTATATACTTTTCGCGATCAGGTAATTTCATATATTTCTTTTTGCCGAGTTTAAAGATTCAGAAAATTGTTATGCATTTTCGTGAAAATTTTTCTAATTTACGAGAAAAAAGCAGTGTACATGGATATAAAGAAGAGTGTGCGTAATGCCATTTTTGTGCAATTCTGGGATGTTTTTTTTAAGTAAAAATAAGTCGATGTGTACATGGTTTAGTGATATTTTAATTAAATGATACTTATTTTGTGAATTTTATGTTTGTAGGAATTTGGTGTACGTTTAAGTTGAAGTAAACGTGCATGGAAATAATTTAAATATTTGACACTAAGTAATTGTAATGCTTGCAATATGAATTCATTGGTGACGTGTATAATATAATAGATGATTTAGAGGTAAAAGTTTTTTGGATATTTTATTTATTTTATATGTGGAAATGTTCATATTTGGAAAGGGTATATACTTTTTCGCGATCAGGTAATTTTATATATGTTCTTTTTACCGGGTTTTTAAAGATTCAGAAAATTGTCATGTATTTTCGTGAAATTTTTCTAATTTATGAGAAAAAAGCAGTGTACATGGATATAGTGAAGAGTGTGCGCAATGCCATTTTTGTGTAATTCTGGGATGTTTTTTTAAGTAAAAAAATCGTCGGCGTGTACATGGTTTATGTGTATGTGTTATTTTGAAAACGTGTAAGGAGTATGGTATTGTGCACTTTTTCCCAATTTTGCAGTGAATATTTGTCATGATTAAACAGTTTTGTTCCATAAAATTTCTAGCATAAGTGTAATTCAGCTAGCAGATTGTTGGAAAAAGTGTTGAGTAAATAAAAAGAAAAGAAACATGTCTTTACTTCGTGAAGACAAAATGGCGGCGAAGAAAAAAATAGAGGGTTGCTGTAGCAGAGTTGGTCGCCAAATTTTCGCCAAGTTACCATAATCCAAAGATCAACCTATGTTTTTTTGAGTGAAAATAGGTCATGTGTACATGGATACAGAGTTTGCGCATTTCTCTGTCTTTTTATTTTGGCTTTGTGTAGCGGCGATTTAGACTAGTTTGTGCAATTCTCTGATATTTTTTTTAAGTGAAAATAGGTCGATGTGTACACGGGTACAGTCAAAGGAGTGCACAATGCCATTTTTGTGCAATCGTGGGATGTTTTTTTATGTGACAATAGGTCGAAGTGTACATGGATACCGAGTTTGTGCAGTTCTTTGTCTTATTATTTTGATTTGCGTAGCGGCGATTTTTGGCACAAAAAATCACGCTACGCAAGCCAAAATAACGTAAAATTCGTAAACGCCAAATACTTAAAATTTAAAGGTGACCAAGTGGTAACAATGGAAGCCAAAAATCTGTGCAAATGGGTTTCACTTATTACAATAAAATATATTACTCATATACGATGGAAATTATATAGAAGAAAATAATGGCAAAAAATAATATACCTGTTATTGTTTAAAGCATTCAAAGTTACTTCAGATAGTGCATCAGTACCGTAAAATAAAACTTTATACGCTTTCAAAGAATTTAAATTAGTACAAAACAATCTAAATAATGGTTGGTAGATTTTTAACCTAACTTTTTTAATTAATTTAGCTCTATGAAATCCCCCTACTGCTATCATTTTCATGGCAGTAATACGCATAACATATCGAAATACAGGTCTGCAACGAAAACATCAACAAACGAGAACATTTGTAAACAAAACTGACGGTATTGCCAATAGGTAAAACGAAATTATTTGCCAGATGGAGAATGCGGTTTATTAAAAAATAATAGAAAAAAAATAAAGAAAAATAAATTGGAAATAAATGCAGTTTAATCTTGATTCAGAATTTTCCTTTAAAACTGTGAAGTTGTGAGTGTGACAACTGTGAGCTGAGGCTTATCTTTAATTCAAAGAAAACAGAGGAGACGAGGGCGCTGTGATCACGTACGATGGAGGCAGGATTTTAGAAGAGCTCCTAAATTTTCAAAGATTTCTTTCAGAAAACGTTATTTATTTAAGAAAAATTTCGCGAATTCCTCTACATTGTCCTCGTTCTCAAAAACCGAAAGTTTCGTGTACCTAAGGTCTTATCTTCCTTGCAATCTTACAACACCAAGACGGAACATTCAGATAAGTAGAACTTTTTTCTAAGCTAATCAATATCTGTCACTAAAGTACTTGAATTCATGTATTTATTATGATTGTTCATGCGATGCGTGTGTTGTTATACAACAATTTCAAATTAACTAGAAGTGGACTGTACTAAATATTTTATTCGACAACTTTAATCAAATGCGTGCCATCTTTCAAGCGATGACTTACTACTAACAACAACAGCAATAAAAAAAAAAAAAAAAAAAAATGAGTAAGCGTTTACAGGGTTGCTGTAATGAACATCTGCGCCATGCAAGGCGCCAAGAAGAGAAAAAATGACGTAATCTTACAGTTAAATAGTCTTAATGACTTAACATACCCCCCGGCATTGAAGGGTTACTTCAATAATTTCGTGCGATAATACTCATAATAACCTACAAAATTGTACAATTACTAACCTTATACAATAAAGCAATACAAATATCATCTCTTAATTCAATATAATAATATTCAATTTTCAATACAAAATTTTGCACAATCACAAGTAAAATACAAGTTTTATATTAATAAGCTAACACTTAACTGAACTTAGGAAGCTTCTTCCTGGGGTAAAATTGCAATTTTTGTAATTCCACTCCACGCTTAATGATGCCCTTTTGCTGTCTGTATTTCTACTACTCTAACCTTACCGTCCACTCCAGGAAAAAGTTCTTGTAATGCGCCCTAACACCCATCTACAAACAGGAAGCTCATCCTCCTTAACTAGTACTAGCATACCTATTTTAATATTCGTTTGTTCTACCTTCCATTTTGAACGCTGTTTGTAGTGTGTTTAAATAGTCCCTATGCCAACGATTCCATATCAACTGGACAAATCTGGTAGTTCGTTTCCATCTTGAGAGTCTGTTTTCAGGTATATCAATTAATTCGGGTTCTACTATAGCATTCAAGGGTCTTCCAATGAGAAAATGACCTGGTGTTAATGCCTCTAAATCATTTACATCGGAAGATAAGGGAGTAATAGGGCGAGAATTTTAAAACAGACTCTATCTGAGTTACTACAGTTAATAACTCCTCGAAAGTCAACCTTGCATTACCTACAATCCGCTTTAAGTGATATTTCACGGATTTTATTCCAGATTCCCATAGTCCACCAAAATTAGTGTCCAAAATTAGTGTCCGTGGGGGAATAAACTTCCATACTATTATTCCTTCTTCACCTAAATAATCTGCTAATTTTTTGTCAGGATTTCTAATTAAATTGTTAATTCTTTGCAATTCGGCATTTGCGCCAACGAAGTTTTTTGCGTTGTCTGAGAAAATGATTGAGCATTTTCCCGCGCCTAGCAATAAATCTCTTTAAGGTGGCAATAAATGCGTCAGTGGTGAGATCACTCACTAGTTCGAGATGCACTGCCTTTGTTATAAGGCAAATGAAAAGAGCTAAATATACCTTATGAAGAGTTCCTTTTCCTCTGTCCCTTGTACCTAATAAAAATGGACCGCAAAAATCGGTGCCGACATGATTAAAGGGTGAGCTTGGATTTTTACGCGCTCCTGCAGGTATATGAACCCCATAATTTGTTCGATAGTGACTGGTTTATTTTTACTACAAATTATACATTCATGGGTAATCTTTCTAGTTAAATTCCTACTTTGTAATGGCCAAAATTTCTGTCTCATAAAACACAATAATGCTTGCGAACCTACGTGTAAATATTTCTGATGATAATGCTCAGCAATCAGCTTAGTTAGTTTGCATTTAACAGGCAAAATTATTTGATGTTTTTGTGAAAACATTACATTGGCCCCTTGTAATCGGCCTCCTACTCTCATTACATTATTTGCATCCAAAAAGGGTTCAAAGAAAGTAAATTACTTTTATTATTAATGGGTTTACCTTGTGCGAGGGAGTTGTAATTCTGAATAAAAACTACATTTTTGAACCTCTCTTACTAAAAAGGATTCTGCCTCATTTAACTCCTTTGAACTTACTCCTCCTGTTCTTCTCTGTGCTCCTTTCTGTTTTGCACACCTAGAGTTCCAAATGAACCTGAAAATATAACTAACAATACGTAATAATTTTAAATAATTGTTAGTGATATCTAGGACATTATCAATAAATTTTGAAGGCAAAGTGCATAAACAAGCAATGTCAGTTCTTTTTCTCAGTTCATTAGAAAATGTCTCTGTTTTTTCTAATTGTTCAAAGTCAATGTTCTTGTTAGGTATGACACCCTCACTCAAGAATGGAGGACCTTTCCACCACACAGATCAGCATCATGCAGCTTGTCAAAATTCAGTCCTCGGGAAATAAGGTCTGCTGGGTTCTCCTCTGAACGCACATAATTCCACTGGCATGTATGTGTTAGCTCTTGGATCTGCAACACTCGATTAGCAACAAAAGTTTTTAGTACATGCGGAGGATTCTGAAGCCATGCTAACACTATGGTTGAGTCACACCACAGACATATTTTACTGATGTCCAATTTCAATAAAGGCACACCACCTTTGCAACAAGCTGTGCTAGCAGTACAGCTGCGCAGAGTTCCCGTCGAGGTACTGTCAGCGGTTTTAGTGGAGCTACTCTGGACTTGCTGCAAAGCAAATGTGAAGATAAATTATTGTCACTTCTACAGCGTAAATAGATGGCTACTCCGTATGCGTGTTCTGATGCATCTGAAAATCCATGAATTTGTATATCAGAAAAACTATCCTGTAAAACATATCTACTGACTTTCAAATTGTTGATAGATTGCATTGAATCAATAAAAAGTTGCCAATCCTTAATTATCCTTTCGGGTAGCGGATCGTTCCAATCAAGCTTCAATAACCAAAGTCTTTGGATGAAGATTTTTGCTTTTGTTATCCCTGGACCAAGCAGTCCTAATGGATCATAAATGCGAGCAATATCAGACAACACTGTTCTCTTTGTGTAAGTAGTTGGTTTCTTGATCGTTGATTTGTACGAAAAACAATCTATCTTTGGATTCCATAATAATCCTAAAGTTTTGATGCTCTGATCGTCATCGAAATTACTGAAAGAATATTCCTCTTGTCCATCCGGAAACTGCAAAAGATCAGGATGATTAGCACACCATCTGTGCAGACGCATTCCTCCACGTGATAATAGGTTAATCAATTGCGACTGTAATTCTTTAGCCTCTATTAGAGTATGGGCTCCTGTGAGTACGTCATCGACATAAAAATCCCTTTGTACTATTGGCGCTGCTAACGAAAAATTGTTTTTCTCGTCTTCTGCTAATTGATTAAGTGTGCGTGTTGCTAGATATGGTGCGTTGGAAGTACCGTGTAAGTTATAGTCTTCAGTCTATAGACCTTAACTGGTTCTTCTTCACTACTCTTCCATAAGATGCGTAATAAATCTCTTTGATGTTCTTTAATCAAAATCAAATCTGACGATACATTTTTACAATGTCTGCTGTGAAGGCAATTTTATGCGTTCGAAATCTGCAAATAATATCAAATAGTTCGTCTTGAACTAACCCTCCATTCAGCAGAATATCGTTTAACGAAATTCCAGTAGTCGTAGGAGCAGTGGCATCGAACACTACCCTAAGTTTAGTGCTAGGTTTCTCGGGCCTGAAAACCCCATGGTGAGGAAGATAATATGAGAAACTAGAGCTATCCCCTTCATCAATTTCTTCGGAATGGCCTAATTCATTATATTCCTTAATGAAATCTTCGTATAAGTGTTTCATTGCGGGATTGCGAGTGAAGCGTTTAAGTAGATAATTCAGTCTTTTGCTAGCGTTTTCTCTCGATTCCCCTAAAGGCTAAGTCCTTCCTCCTTAATTGGCATTTCCACTACATATCTGCCATCATCTTGCCTCGTGTGTGTACGTACGAAGAAAGTGCTGTTCACAAAATTCCTCTTCCTGACTTTTCACTTTTTTTTGCTTCATTAATACCTTCAATCTCCCAAAAACCTTCTCATGTTGTCAGATAAATTATCCCCATTTTCCACAAACCCACAAAAAATTATCAACAACTGCCTTGCCTTGCGGCGCATGCGTACTGACCCGCTAACGATGTATCCAAAAACTGACTGATGGAGAATCAGGTCTTGCATATTTATTCTATTTGTTTCCCAGTAAATCAAAAAATATTTCGTTAGATAATAAAACATGTATTTGACCAGGTTTATAAAACTCTGGATCAGCTAAACCAATGAGTTGCAACTGCTTAACATCAGGAATGTTTATATATCTAGCAGGCGTTACGTACGCGAGTTATTTTTGGAACAACAAAAAATTGTAAGGTACGAATAAAATCTCTAGTAGCGT